ATGGAGGAAGGAGCGAAAAGACAAAAGCATATTATCTTCATAAATTAAAACACATTTACACACTCATCTCCTAGAAGATGGAGATCCTCGGAAATGTCCAGCAAGTCACAAACTCCACATGAGGGTGTACAGACTGTTTCTTGTATGAAGGTGCCCTCCCAAGGCAGTGGGAGGGGACCATGGCTCAGGCCCAGATCACCAAGTCCTGGAGGAAAACAAAACCCAAACCCATTGCTGTCAAGTCAATTCCGACTCATAGTGACCTTATAGTCCTGGAGGAAGGAGCACCTTATTCTCAAGTGCACAAAGGCTAGGAGAGGCCCTGGCTACGTTCAGTGGAAAGGACTATTACACGTTATTATAATTTAAGATGTCACCTTAGGGTGCTGTCTTTATTATTCTTAAATTTTTTATAACACTGTTTTATTTTCCTCCATATGACTTAGGTTTCTTGGTGTTACCAAGAAGTTAACTCCTGAGATTGGGCAAAAGGCACTTAATCTACGCTTTTCTTTTATTTGAAAGGCTCCCAAAGGAAATTAAACAACAAACCTTCTTTGTTAATGTCCCTAAAGCACAATTCATTGTAAAAAACAAGTCAAAGTATGCCAATTGCACCTTGGTTTCCATCCAAAAAAGTTTAGTTCCTGAAGTATGAGTTCTTACTTAACGTGACCTCACCATTAAAGGATTGTATGACAAGGTTGAAATCAGGGTTATATTGGAGCACTGCTATAATTTCTGTATACTTTCGGGTTGATTCTAGATACGAAGAGCCAGAAGATATACGTTATTATTGGCCATTGTGATGGTAGTTTCCCCTTATTCTATATATACGTATATCATTGTTGAGTTCAATATTCTTCATGGACACATTTGATGAATAATCATTAGAGCTAACATATGTTGATAACTTAGTATGTGCCAGGCACTAGGCTAAGTGGTGAGTTTTTTTATATGAAGCAAAGACATGCTTCTTTAGTTTCTATGTAGGAATGTTAAATATTCTCAAGGGTAAAAACCAGTTGCTGTTGAATCAATTCAGACTCATGGTGACCCCATGTGTTTCAGAGTAGAACTGCACTTCATAGGATTTTCAACGGCTGTGATCTTTTGGAAGTAGATCACCACATCTTTCTTCCAAGGTGCCTCTGGGTAGACTCAAACTGCCAACCTTTCGGTTAGTAGCTGAACACTTAACCATCTGCACTACCCAGGGACTTCTAGTCTCAAAGGTAGGGATAATGAAATAGTTTAAGTTTTCATGTGAGATAATTTCTGTGTACAAAATGTAGAGAGAAGAGATCCCTCGAGTTAACTTTCTTAAATCCATACAATTGGATACACAGTGATTAAGTTTATTGCTTTAAATTTACTGTTTTCATTTTTTTATTTAAGGTTGTTGTAATACATCATGTAAAATTATGTTCCTTAGCAAATATATTGCACAAATTAGTATATTATCCACAGCCCTATAAAAACTTTGATACATTTACCAAAAAGTCCTTGAAAACAGAAGGGTTTAATCGTAACAGTTAACTTACATATTTATACGCAGAAACACGTATAGGCTTACACACATACTTCCCAATGTTTTATTATCTATTGCTGCATAACAAACTACTACAAAACTTGGTGGTTTGAAATGACAATCATTTTATAATATATCTTGATTTTGTTGGTCAAAAATTTGAGCAGGGCTCTGTTGGATGGTTCTTATGTTCCACATGACATTAATGAAGATCACTGAGAGTTATTTGCTGGTGTGTAGGCTGGTCTGGAGGATCCAATACAAACCAGCAGGATCCAGCAGGGGATGCTAGAAGGCTGGGCCTAGCTGGGACTGTTGACCAGAGGACATACACAGCGACCTTTCCATCATGGCGATCTCAAGGTAGTTGGAATCTTATGTTACAGCTCAAGGCTACTGGAAAGTATGTTCTAAGAGATGCAGGTAAAAGCTATAAGGCTCCTTATGGCTTATCCTTAAAAATTCCAGAATATCAATTCCTCCATATTCTATTTTTCAAGTAAGACATTGAGGCTACCCAGTCAAGAGGTGACGAATTAGACTCTACCTGTCAATGGAAGGAGAGCACAGAATGTGCTGTCAACTTTAATCTAGACATATCTAAAGCTACTGATGGAGCACCAGGGGCAACTATCCCTAGACTTTCTATAAGAACCTGTGATGGGTTCTGGAATGCTTATGGCTGGATGGACAGCATTTACTTCTCCAGTGTTTTCTGGTCCTCTGCCAATGGAAAGTGAATCCAAATCTCTAGTTTTGAGCAGGTGGATTCACGTGTTTTGCTGCTGCCCCATTTTTTCTTCATTAAGCCGTTATGACCAAAGAGTCTTTCTGTGTGCCCTGTGTCTATTACTTATTGTTTTTAGAGCTTTTTTCCAGCATGAGACCATAGAAGGCCAGAGCTGGAAGGGACTCCAGATGAAACTGTTCCTGATTTACAGATGCAGAAATTTAAGTTTAAAGTAGCTACGTGACCTGTCCCTGGTCAGAAGCTGATTAGTGACAGGGCCACACCCAGATCCCTTGCTTCAATGCTTGAAGAGAGGCAATGCTGACTTGTCTGAGGAATGGGCTTCCTGTCCACCTGATGCTTCCCCTAGAAAAAGCCCATCTGCCTTCATAGTCAGGAAAGGCGTGCGTCAGGGTTGTATCCTTTCACCGTACCCATTTAATCTGTATGCTGAGCAAATAATCTGAGAAGCTGGACTATATGAAGAAGAACGGGCATCAGGATTGGAGAAAGACTCATTAATAACCTGCATTATGCCAATGATACAACCTTGCTTGCTGAAAGTGAAGAAGATTTGAAGCACTTACTGATGAAGATCAAAGACCACAGCCTTCAGTAGAGATTAGATTACACCTCAACATAAAGAAAACAAAAATCCTCGCTATTGGACCTAAAAGCAACATCATGATAAATGCAGAAAAGATTAAAGTTGTCAAGGACTTCATTTTACTTGGATCCACAATCAACACCCATGGAAGCAGCAGTCAAGAAATCAAATGACACATCATATTGGACAAATGTGCTGCAAAAGACCTCTTTAAAGTGTTGAAAAGCAAAGATTGTCACCTTGGAGACTAAGGTGCGCCTGACCCAAGCTATGGTGTTTTCAATCGCCTCATATGCATGCGAAAGCTGGACAATGAATAAGAAAGACTAAAGAAGTATTGACACCTTTGAATTGTGGTGCTGGAGAAGAATATTGAACACAACATGGACTGCCAAAAGAACAAACAAATCTGTCTTGGAAGAAGTACAACCAGAATGGCCCTTAGAAGCAAGGATGGCAAGACTACGTCTCACATACTTTGGACATGTTATCAGGAGGGTCTAGTCCCTGGAGAAGGATATCATGCTTGGTAAAGTCAAGGGTCGTTGAAAAAGAGGAAGACCGTCAATTAGATGGATTGACACAGTGGCTGCAACAATGGACTCAAGCCTGACAACGATGGTGCAGGACCAAGCAATGTTTCATTCTGCTGTACCTAGGGTCGCTATGAGCCCAACTGACTCCATAGCACCCAACAACAACATTTTCTTGGTCCATATTCAATAAATGTTTAATTAGTACCGCCCAAGTTCCTGCTATTTCCCGGGCACTGTGCCTGTGCGGCTGAATATATATACAGAGGTAGATGCCCTCAAGTGGATTTCCTCCTAGTTAGAAGGTCGTAATATACATTTTACAGCAGTCACAATTTCTCCAGGTCACTTATTTGATGTTATTTTATCCGTTAAGTACTTTTATAACACGTGTAACTCTCCCGCCTTTGGTTTATAGAACAGACCAAGGGCCAAGGGTTCGGAGTTTTTGTTCTGCTCAGAGCGCAGATTTGGAGTAGGCATTAGTAAAACTCTCCACAGGACATGTTATGAAAGACTAGTTGGTATAGTTCCTTCTGTTTCAAGAGACATTTGCTCATTAGATGAGGTGACGGATAGCTTTGACTTTATCTGGACCTCAGGGACTCTAGGTGGCTGCCTTAAGTACAGTCACGGTAGCTTGTATTTCCTGTTTATATGGTACCTGATCACCATTAGCTTTTGTCTTCCTCTGCTGCAGGTAATTTATCTTCCTCCTGGACCAGCCGGGAGATGGGGAGGGGTGTGGACAGGACCAGCCTGATAATGGTGACACCTCCTCCAACATCATGCCCACACCAGTCCGAAGCTCCTGAGCTGGGCGGGATCACTCTTCCTGCTCAGCTGGAAGTAGCCTCAGGCGGGTCGCCCACGGCCCCTGGGGGAGGGCATCAGGCTCCGATCCACCACAAGAGACGCCAGAAGGCCGACCGAGGGCAGGCCTGCCGGTGTGAAAAGTGGAACACGAGGCGCGGCCCCGGGGCCGTAGCGCTCAGGCCGGAGGTGAACGCCGCGCCCCGCTAGGCTCCGGGCGGGCGCCGGCTCCCGCCGGTGGGGAGTAGAAGGAACCAGATGGGCGGGTTCAAGCGTTTGCGGCGGCGGTCCTGGGGCCGCCGGCTCCTCCCCGCGAGTGTGCCTGTCTGTCGCTCGCCGCGCTGAGGCAGTGCGGCGGCAGGCGCACCGAGGCTGTCGCCCAGCGCCCTGGCCGCGGCCATGCCCGGGCCCTAGCGCGCCTGCCGCAGCCCGCGCCCCGCAGCCCCACACCCCTGCGCCCGCCGCCGCCTCTTCAATGGGCAACCTGCTCGGCGGCGTCAGCTTCCGCGAGCCCACCACCGTGGAGGACTGCGACTCCACCTGGCAGACGGACTCGGAGCCCGAGCCCGAGGAGCCGGGGCCGGTCGGTGGCGAGGGCCCGGGGCAGGAGCCCGAGCAGCCCGCGCAGCCCCCGGAGAAAACCGGCGGGCGGCCCCGCGCCAGCCCCGCGGTGGACGAGGACGCCGAGGCGGTGGGCGCCGAGCAGGTACGCGGTCCCGCGGTGGCCTCGGGCCGGCCGGGGCGTCCCTGCGCCTGGCGCCGGGGAGGAAGGACATTGGCGGGGAGAGGAGCAAGCGACAAGCGACCGCGCGCGTGGAGGGCAGGGGTGCCTGGCGGCTGCGCGTCCCCTGCAACTGGACCCCTCGGCGTCGGCAGCTGTCCCGCCGCCCTGGCCTCGGCCTGCGGTGACCGGGAGCGGCAGGGCTGGCTGCTGCCGGCTTGGGGCCTGGCCGTGGGCACGACAGGAAAGTCCCTCAAGGAAGAACCCAACTTGAATGGGTGTTTTCTTGGCCTCTGCAACGCAGCTGGGTGAAGCGAAGGTGGGGTGGGCGGAACCTGTCTAAAAATAGAGGATTGTGAAAACTCGTCTAGTGCGTGTTATTGGTAACAATTGTCTAGAATAAGATGGGACTGCAGTTGACAAGCAACCAGCACTCTCCTCTACAGTGGGGTCTGCGGCCATTAAAAGTATTGTAGATGGTCCCTATCTGAAGTTAAAACGCCACATTTCTTACCCCAAGTAAGGCCTGTCAGCTGAGGAGTTCAGGGCACTCTTCAAAAAGCTTTTTTCACCCACAAGGACTTGTTGATCCAGCTGTGCTTAAATCATTTGACTAATATAATTTGGAGGAGAGGTTAGGAAAGACGTAAATGACGGTTTTAACCCTTGATGGACTGAAAATCAGAAAACTTTAAAAAGGAGGAACTTCTGAAGAGGTATGCATCATGTAAGTGTTTTTAAGGTTTGCAGTTCCGCATTAAGTCCTCTGCCTTTATCAGCTTGCGGGGTGGGGAGTGTGGGGGTGAGGGGTGGAATGCATGTGGGAAAATGGAGCCCAAAGTCAAATGCGACCACAGGGCTGTTGGCCACCTTGCCTCAGTTCGCCCTCATTGCTATCCAAACTAGATCGTCCAGCAAATTAAAAGCTCTTTGTCCATTAAAACCTTTAACTTCACTAGTGCTATCCGTTAATTTTTGATCCTTTGATTAAGCTCCTTGGGGTGGTCTCTATAGTAGGGGAATCTTCACCTTATTATATCTGCTAATCCCGACTCACAGATCTCCATATCTATCTCTGTTTAGGTCAGCAGGAGTCATTAAAAAAAGTCTAAATGAAAGTTCTATCATAAACATGCTATTTAAATCAACTGCAATTTTGAGTGGGGTAGCTATTTTTAATCCTCATTTTAGAGAAAAAGGAGGCTTAGAGAAAAAGAAACTTGCCCAGGATCATAGAGGGAGAGACAGACACAGGTTGTATCTGATACCAACATCAGAGACTTTGACCTGTTAAAATCCTGAATAGGCCTTTGTCTCTTGTGTCCTGGTTTACTGCTCTATTTGGCATTGCCTGTTCAACCCCAGGAAGGTATTTGATGTTGTATTTCCGTGTTCCCCCTTTTACTTGCCTCTCAATTAAGTAACCTACGGAAGTTTGGGATATCAGAAAAACAAGCTCGGATTTAATCCAACTAACCAGATCCATCTATATAAAACAGTTTTATAATGAATGTTTTAATTAGTTAATTGTAACCCTGGTAAATGGTAGACAACCCCAACCCTCCCTATTGTCCTTTAATGCTTTACTTGTCTTGTTAGCATTTTCACCAAAAATTCTACTTAGTTATTTTGCTTTGTGGCTGTATCTCCCATTTGTTTGCTTACTTCCCACAGACAATCCATTTGCAAGTAGTACTGGAACTACCTTTAAAATATATCCAAGGCTGACTACTTCTCACCACCTCCACTGCTGTCATCCTAGTCCAAGTGGATATTGGACAAATAATAGTGCCATTAACTAAATGGAGAAGTCTAACTAAGATGGAGAAACACGCTTGGGGTTAAATCAGTGATTCTGTTTAGTTTGATATCCTATTAGACACCCAAGTGGAATTGTTGAGTAGTTGAGTGCATTTATGAATGGAGATTTACACCAGAGCTGAAGTCATCAGCATATAGATCAAAGGTAAAGTCATGGGAAAGTAAGAAGCCATCAAGAAGTGATGAGGAAGTAGGACTAAGCCCTGGGCACTCCTCAATTTAGGGAGTATGAAGAGGAAGAGGAGCCAAAAAGGAGGCTGAGAAGGGGCAAACAATGAGATAGGAAGAAAACCGGGAGAGTATGGTATCCTATTTTAGGAAAGAAGAAGGGATTAACTGGTCTAATGCTGCTAGGAGGTTGCCTGAGATGAACCCTGAGAGATGGTTTGGCAAGATGGAGATTTGTTTGTGACGTTTACAACAGCCATTTTGATGGAATGATGAGAACAAAAGCCTGATTGGGATGGGTGACAGGAGAATGGGAGAAGAGGAGATAGTAACATGGAGTATGGGCAACTCTTTTGTGATGTTTTGCTATAAAAGGGAACAGAAATGTGGATTTGTAATTGAGGGTGGATTTGAGTCAAGGGGAAGTTTTGTATGTTTATTTTAAAATTAGATATACTAGGGCATGTTCATTTGCTGAGGTGGAATGATTCAGAAGACAGGGAAATTGGCTGATACAGGAAAGAGGACAAATAGGTTAAAGAACAAAATCCTTGGCAGAGCGAGTGAAAGGGACAGGATAAAGAGTCTAAAAGGAGCAGGGATTGGAGCAACAGGGACAGATGCAGGAAGGTTTGTAGATTTAGAGGCTGGAGGATGCAGTCATTTTCGTGATAATCTTAGGTGGTAGACAGGGCATGAGTCATTATCTTCATTTCACAGATGGTAAAACTAAGGTTCATTTGTTGTTGTGTGCCTCCGAGTCAATTTCAACTCAGCAATCCTATAGGACAGAGTAGAACTGCCCCATAAGGTTTCCTAGGCTGTAATCTTTACCAGAGAAGATTACCAGGTTTTTTCTCCCATGGAGAAGGCCACACAAATACTAAGTAGCAAAGTCAAGAGTTGGTGCAAGTCTCCTGACTCCAAGTTTTGTCTGTTGACATTATGCCAGGATTTCCACGACGATCATTCACTTTAGTGCAGCTGAAATTGAATCATACCTAATTAGTTGGCCTTAGAGCCTGGAGCCTCAGATTCTAGTCCTGTGCTGTCATTGGGTGGTGGTTAACTTTTCCCAGTCTCAGTTACCTTGTTTCTAAAATGGAGACACTAATAACTGCCATCTAGATGTGTTATAAGAATAAAATGAAATAACATACATCTACGTGCTCTGTAAATGGAAAAGTGCTTTCTATACAAATGTAAGATGATGATTCAAATGGTTGTAGCTCAGGCTAAATAGATTCAGAAACTTGCTAGGCAGAGCTATTTTGAAACGTGTGGTAAGGACCAGAATTGAAGTTTTTCCTTGCTTATGTAACATGACAGAGTAACTAATGTTCAACAGCAGAGGATTTGGTGTTAAAGTAAGTATCTCTGTACTTGTAGTAATAGTGAGGATCACACCACTTCAAAATGTGTGAAAATTGCTTAGAGGATGCCAGTCTGTCAACACAAATGGGGGTGGGGGATGATGAGAAATGATTTGGGCTAAAGCTCTTAATGAATATTCAGGTCTAAACTTCATCTTCTTTTTCTTCATCGTAGTCAGTCTCCTTGTCCTTCTGCAAAACACTGGACAAAAAACAGTTTCTCATACATTATAATAGTGTATATAGTTAGAGAATATAAGTCAATTATATTGACTTGCATCTTCTATTTTAAAAGTAACTTCACAGTGGTAGGAATTTTGCTTAGAATTTACGTAGTAGGAGTAAACTACCACATACAAATTACTTCAATCTGGAGTTTATTTGATGTGAGAGCTTTTTACTGCTTTGTGTGTATATATTTTAAATTTGCTAATTTATATTACATTGTATTATCACTGAGTGAACAGAGGATTATTCATGCCTTTATGTACTTCTTGTTATAGTGTTGTAAAGGATGGAGCTTAGAAAGCTATTTAGTTTGTTACTATTTGGTTAGTTACTTGACTTCTAAGTACAGCTAAATATTGCAAATTTAATGACAGTTTTCTTTGTAGAATTGATTTATTTCTTTAACACTTTTTTAGAATTATGTAAAGTGTCCTGAATAAGTTTTTTCACAGAACCACTTGTGTAAAATGTGGTAAAATACAAGTCTTACAATTAATTTTGAATTCTATTTCTGATGGATATTGATCCATAATACTTGGCCTCTGTAAGCTTTTTGTGAGTAATAAAGTTTTAAATTTAGTAATATCCCTTAGGACAAATGTTATTGGTTCAAATCAGAATAACAGAATGCCAACAAATATTGCTAGTAAGCATTAGTAAAGGGACATTTATAATATTTTTCATGTATCTGGACAGTATTGATAGTTTTCAGCATTACTTTAATGGTGTTCATTAATTTTGTTCTAGAAATTTCTCATGGAAATTACCTTGCTTCAGCATGTACATGGAGTTTCATTTTTTATTTCAGGGTGGTGATTCCACTGAAACAACTGCCAAACCAAAGAGAAGTTTTTATGCAGCGAGAGATTTGTACAAATACCGACACCAGTACCCGGTAAGAGTATTGAATGTTTTTTTTTTTTCCTAAAATGCAAAGTATTTCCCTTCTGTTTTCCTTATTTTATGGTGCCAATGAACAAACATGCAAGAAAGATCCTTGTGCCTTTTCTATATGTCCATATGCTGGAGATTGATTTATTTTTTCCTTTAGCAGAACTTCAAAGATATCCGGTATCAAAATGACTTGAGCAATCTTCGTTTTTATAAGAATAAAATTCCATTTAAGCCAGATGGTGAGTATTGGCTACCTTGGTTAAAAAAGAAACTTTGAATAATAACGTACACCTGGTTGTTTTTGTTTTAGATCCCAATCAGTACATTCTTAATGCATTTCTTCATTTATTGGCTTTATTTTGCTGTGTAGTCTAATGTGTCCGCAAAGTCCTAGGCCCTAGAATTGTGAGCAACCACTTGACAAATTCTGGAGGAATAGCTTCAGGTTAGAAATCTCTTCTTGTCACCTAGTCTAGCATGGGTATTATCTGAAAGAAAGTAGGGGCAACTTTTGTGAGAGGAAAAGAGAAGATTTATAGAATCATAAAATATTAGATTAAGGAAGATTAGAAGAGATCAAATTCAGCTTTCTCATTTTAAAGATGAGGTAACTAAGACTTATAACTCAAATAACGAACTTGCTGGGTTACTCAGTTTGTTCTAGAGTTGGGTCTAGATTCCAGAGTCCAGTGTGTCATACCTGAAAAGTATTTAGAAAGTGACTGAAAGTGAGACTTATATTTAGAATTATCTTTTCTTCCTGTTTTCAGATTCAGGGGTGGGAAGTAAGACCAGACATAGCTCAGTGTTGCAGTATCTCTCGACGGATACAGTAGATTTCACTCCAGCTCTTCCAGATAAACTTGCCTTCTCCTTCATAACCCTACAATTGCCCTCTTAAGATCTTTTCTAAATCCATAGTGAGAGGATATAGCTGTTATGGTAATATGTCTACAAAACTGCGTATTTCATTGAGGACCTGAGCTATGGTGGGCATCACTGGCATCACTAGGGGGGTGTGGGGGTGCAGACTGCGCTGCTGACGCTGTCAGAGTTGGTGGCACTAAAACGACTTTCTATAAAATTTTTGTGCAGTGTCTCAGCAGAAATTTATTATTTTTAATAAAAATATCCCTGTAGTTAATTGTAACAACAAAAAATATATTTTGTAAGCCCAGCTTATGTGTATCAGTATACTTACAAAGCTCAAACTCTATGCTAATTTATTTTTTGAAACTTCTAATGCCTTCTAGTCAGAGCTATCATTATTACTCAATTACAGTGATGCTTTGAATCACGTGATTTCGTCTGCGCATCCTCCTACAACCACAAGCTGTTGTTTTTGTTGCTGCCGGTGTTTTTATAGTTGCCGATTTTGTCAGATTTTCTGATGTTTTAGCTACAATATTGTAGTTAGCGTGGGGGTGGGGTGACACCATAAGTTACCATACTGGGTGACACCAACCCTAGTGACACCGCTGGTGGGCATCCTAATTTCATCCAGGTCAAACAAGCAAAGCTGTTTTCTGTCATTAGAGCCCTTGTCTTTAGTGATTAACCAGAGGGTCCTGGCTCCTGCACTTCGCTCTCAGTGGAAACTGAGCCAAATCCACAGCAATGTCAATCAAGGAATGCAGTTCATGGATTTCAAAGCTTTGAAAGCTTTGCCTTCTTTGGTGAACTAACTGGAGAAAGGAGATTTAAAGGCTGGGTAGAGTGTTGGGAGGAGGAATTCCCTGCATTGTGTCCTGAAAGATGCCCTAGTTGGGAGTAATGGTTTAAGAACATTGCTGAAATGGCCAGATCCACATGTCTTTAATTAACTTTCTGGTGTCTCAAAATTTCTGCTCTGATTTGGAGGGAAATGTCTGTATAAAAATGCACTGCTGAATTTACTAATGATAGAAATGTGCTGCTTTATTTGTTAGTGGAAATAATATTAATTAAGTCATTGTTTTTTTTTTAAGGGTTTGGGGTAAGAAAACTTTTAAAGAGATACAATGATAAATTGTTAATTTGATTCTGATTTGAATATTACAAAATTTGTCTAAAGGAACGCCTTCAAGTATTAAAAATAGTCAACTGTGATGGCAGTATTTAAAAACTCAATTTTTTTTGTATTATAATACTGAATTTATTTTGAGGTAGTAATTTAAAACAGCAAGTCAAGCAGTATATTAAATCCTTTGTAATCCTTATCACAAAGTTTATTGTGAAATCTTACAAGATGTGGGGGGTCAGAAATTTTAACTAAGGTCATGTAAAATATTATCCTAACTCATGTTATGTGTATTACATCAATTTATACCTCCTTTCCCATTATATGTACACACACACATACATTTGTAAGTAACAAAGGCTTGCAATAGCATATTTTACTTATTAAGTAGGACTGGGTAGTTAGAAAGCGAAACAAATGCGAAACTATGGAGGTAAATAGTTTCAGTGTGTTGATAAAGCCAACAGTATGATTCAAAAGGGAATCCCTGGGTAGTGCAAACAGTTAACATACTTGGCTGCTAATCAAAAAGTTGGAGGTTCGAGTCCACCCAGAGGGGCCTCGGAAGTAAAGCCCTTTCATTTACTTCTGAAAATCAGCTATTGGAAAACCTACGGAACACAGTTCTACTCTGACACCCAGTTGCCATTGACTCAATGGCAACTGATAGTGGTATGACTCAAAAACAATTTATCAAACCTTCTGAAAGTGAAAGTCTACTATAAATTGGTAATCTCTGGAGGAAACAAGATTGTGATGAGTTATTTTTAGAGAAATATAATGTTTTTGTGTCTGTTTTAATACGTTTGACTAAATGGCCACATAGTCAGTTGTGAGGACCTGGACAGACTTAAGAGAAGAACTTTGTTACAATGAGTTCTTAACTGGAACAGTGGAGCGTGGTGAAAAGAGCGTACTGTTTGGAACCAGAAAGACCCGTGTTCTTCTAGATTTACTCTTTTATTTGTGTGTAACTTTGAGCACATCACACAATTTTCTCATTAGTAAAATGAAGATAATAACACTGGTTTGGAGGGTTCTGTGAGGATTAAGCTGGATGATGTATACTCGGTATAATATGGGCCCACATATAGTAGGCACTCAACAACTTTTCCTTTCATTCCCCACTCCCCGCTTGGTTCTCTTCTTCTCTTTCTTTTTCCCTCCCTCCCTTCTTCCCTTCCTTTATTTCTCCCTGGAATACCTTTCATTTTGATCCTATCCAGTATTTAAAGAACTATACGACCCTCTAGAGCAAGGGTCAGCAAACTGTCTGTACAGGGCCACATAGTAAATATTTTCGGCTTTATAGACGATACAATCTCTGTTGCAGCTACTCTGTTCTGCTATTGTAGCATGAAAACAGCCATAGACAATATATAAATGAATGTGCATGGCTGTGTTCCAATAAAACTTTATTTATAAAAACAGGAATGGGCCATAGTTTGCCAGCCTCTGCTCTAGAGTAACACTGTCTAATAGGACTTTCTGCAATTTGAGATTAATTTCTTTTAAATTAGGCTTATTACATAACTGAATATATGGCAGAGGGTATTTATCTTTTCACATCACTATTCTCGTGTGTTGTTATTAAATTTTAAAAGTTTTAATATACAACTTAAGTGATTTAAATCTTAAAATGCTTTAAAAATGTTTTAAATGTCTGATTCATTTTCTAAATATTTATTATCTAGGTGTTTACATTGAAGAAGTTCTAAATAAGTGGAAAGGAGATTATGAAAAGCTGGAGCACAACCACACTTACATTCAATGGTCAGTTACATGTTACCTACTTTGAACCATGTCCTACTTAATCATGTATGTTTTCCAGACGACACTAATATAAAAATTTCATTTTTTAAAATAATAGGCTTTTCCCCCTGAGAGAACAAGGCTTGAATTTTTATGCTAAAGAACTAACTACATATGAAATTGAGGTAACACAAGCTTACTTCATTTTATACGAGATGGCAAAATAAATATTGCTACTTCACTGTCCTGGTAGTTACTGAATCGTTTCAGCTGCCTTTTTTTTTTCATTAGGAATTCAAAAAGACAAAAGAAGCAATTAGAAGATTCCTTCTGGCTTATAAAATGATGTTAGAATTTTTTGGAATAAAACTGATTGATAAAACTGGAAATGTGGCTCGGGCTGTTAACTGGCAGGAGAGGTTTCAGCATCTGAATGAGTAAGTAAAGCCCCTTTGATAAATTGGGGTACTGGCACGTTATTTTTGCCTTAGTCACAATTCTCTGCAAAACACAGGAACAAATAGCAGATGGATCCAGGTGTTTGGACTCAAACGCTAGTCTGAAATAAATTTTGCCCCCTGTTCTACATTCTGAAACAAAACAAAACAAAATAAAGACAAAAAAGAAAGGAATTTCAAATAGAAACATGGCGATTCGGCTTCAGAGGTGTTTCTTTCTGTAATCTCTCCATAGCCCATATCCACGTGTATCCTCTTTCCCTTTTTATATCACCATCTTTAGCATTTAAGGTTATTGCTTGTATAAAGTTTTTTCATATCCCCTCTACTATCTTGTAAGCTTCTTGGGGGCACAGTCTATTTTTAACATCCTCAAGCGTAGTGCCTTCTTAGATTAAATCCATGATGTATAAAAACCTATGATGTATAAAAATCATTTTATAAGACTGAGATGTACATGTCTATTTTACTAAAATGGAGAGAAAAGTAAAAGTTTCTTTGCTATTTAGGTCAAAAACAAAAGGTCGTTTTTGGTTAATAAATTCTGAAACCTCTGATAAAATTTGTAACATTGTTTATTTGGAATTAATTTGCTATATTCTTTTGCTTGGATATTTATAACTTTTCATTAATACTTATAGCCAAAGTCTATTTTTCTTAATATTTGCTTTGCGTACAAACTTTTGTTTCTTTTTTTTCCTTTTTAATTATAGGGTGACTTATAAGTGCTGGACTATAAATCAACAGCTTTAAAACACTTTTTGGCACGTTATAATTAGCTGAACTGGGAAGTACTAAGAGGAAAAAAATAAAAACTAACCTAAGCAATTTCTCTTTGCCCAAAACAATTAAAAGTTTTGTGCATCAGTAAACTAAGTTTTTTTTGTGCGTGTCTCTCAAGAGCTCTTACCTTATGTTGGTAAAATGAGTATAAGTATTAATGTTTAAGCCTTCTTTTTACTTTCTTAGCTATAATCAATACAATTAAAATGGTAGCTTGTACTAAAACACTGATGATATGGGCATAAAGCTTTATGATCCTGACTACAAGACCCATTAACTCATAACTCAAGTTAACTTTCATTTATATAGGGTACATAAAGCTGAAGTATATATGTGTCTGCTTAAGCAATGCAGGTAGCTATCTCTAGACGAGGTTTCTAAGCACTTCTGTCACACTGTCAAAGAATGCTGTATCCAAGCAGCCTGTTGACACAAAGGATGGCAAAAGTAAAAGTAAATCTTTGGAGAGGATCTGAAAGCACCTCATCTTCCACGTACTCACAGCTGTCATTTTAGAGAATCCCTCTCTCCAACTTGGTTTATGTTTGGAATAGTAAATAGTAGCAATAGTAAAAGTTTGTTGAATGAATAAATGATTGAACAAAATGTAGTTGTCAGCTTAAGGCATCCTTGGGGTTTTATTGTCAGCTTCTCTGATTTATAGCTGAAAACAGAGCCCTTTCTGAAGGGTTTACTTAAAGGATCTGCTGGCTTGAGTCAAGAGAGAGGAACCTGAACTAACAGTCACTTCTCACTCCTCTGCCCCACCTACCTCCCTTTCTTTCTACCACCTGTCGTCTTTGTTTTTCCTTTTTCCGAGTATTGCATAGAGCTTTTCCAGCTATAAATTAACTGTCCACTGCCTTAGAATCTATCAGAAACCAAGTTTCCTTTCTGATTTAGTTGCCAAAAAAATTATATTTATTGACTAGATTTGAACAAATTACATGGGGTTATATAAAAACTTCTATTCCATTTTCTTTCTTCATTTGGGCTCTTTTCTAATTTATCTGTAAAAATATCATAACTTATTTGTTTTTTAATCTGTACTGCATCTTGAGTTTTTTAGAGTAGGCAAGGAATTCAGTATATTTATAGTATCCCAGAAGAGGAAAAGTGCTGAATCAAAGTGAAATGAAATAACCTTCAGTGAACTAGTGACCATGGCTGAAAAAGATGGAATCTTTTCAAACATGAGAGTACGTGTTTATAGATCAGCCACTATGATGTATTTCTAATTTTATTTGTAATCAACTTGGATTACTGATCTATATTTTACACCTGGAATCCCTTCTTTTATTTTCTGTCTTCCTGGTTCTTGCTTTTTTTAGTTCTTTCTTCATCTACCCAGTTTTCCTGACAATCTCAGCCCTATTTACTGCCCTTACCTCTGTCTGGATGCCTAGCCTGTCTCTTTCATGTGTTGTGCAACTCCAAAGACCGCTCACAACGTTTAGAAGGTTTTGGCCACTTCTTGCCCATTTTCATTTTACCTTTCATTATGACATTTATTTCAAGTCATACGGAAACACCCAGTTGCTGTTTTCCATAGTTCTAGAATCTTGGTCATCACCCTTCAAGCCCATGTTTCTGTCCTTTTCTACTGTTATATAAATCTTTTTAATTGGAGAGTATGCAGATACTGCTAAGTGTGTACAAAATTTTTAACTTGACCATCTGCGATTGGATATATGAAATTGAACTGGTTGTAAATATACTAAATTTTGTTTTATCATATGGTTCCTCTTTGAGATTTTTTAAAATTTTTTTCCACTTTCCATACACCTCTTTCTCACAGACTTATGAAACAGATACTGCCGAAGAGTTTTGTTACTATGTTTTTAGAGTATAAACCCCCCAAAAACCAAACCCATTGCCATAGAGTCGATTCCAACTCATAGCAACCCTATAGGACAGAGTAGAACTGCCCCATAGAGTTTCCAAGGAGCAGCTGGTGGATTTGAAATGCCATCCTTTTGGTTAGCAGCCAAACTCTTAACCACTGTGCCACCAGGGCTCCTTTTAGAGTATACAGTCTCCATAATAACCTAACAACTAAGTTAACCCTGCTCTTGTAGTACGTTGTCTTCACTTCACCCAGATTTGTATTGTTTCAAAAGATTCTTGCCTCCTAACCATTAAAAAACAGATTCATAAAACTGAAACCTATCTGTATCTGTGATACATTTACCTTTCAGCCTTCAGAAAGCTGAATATTAAGGTAATACTTTTTTGTAAGCATCCAGAGGCATGGAGATTATAAAAGCTGCTGGGCTTGTCTTTTCAGTATTTGGTTAGCCTGAATCATGGAAGTTTTTGTTTTGTCCAGACAAACTCTCTTATTACAATATAAGACCATGGAACCTCCCCCTTCCTTCCCCCAAATAATTCATCAATGTCCTTCTCAAATAATTTGCTAGTTATTCCTAAGTAAAATATTCCAAGAACTTTTGGAAACTAGGGCAGGCGTACGTAATGCTTGTAGAAGGTTCAGTTTCTGAGGTATAAAACAGCTTTTAAGAAGTTATAGTTAGAAAAAAAGGAGTACTTGGGTGGCACAAATGGTTAAGCGCTTGGCTACTAACCGAAAGATTGGCAGTTCAAACCCAGCCAGAGGCACCTTGGAAGAAGGGCCTGGCTAGCTACTTCTGAAAGATCACAGCCATTGAAAACCCTATGGAGAGCAGTTCTACTCTGAAATACATGGTACTACATGAGTTGAAATTGGTTCAATGGCAACTGGTTTACTGGTTAGAAAAAAAATGGCAACATTATGGTTGTGCGGCAATATTGGCTAAATAAATACCTGGGTTGTTGATGACACCCATGATTAATATTTGCAGCTGAAGATCCCTTTAGGACGTGGCTAGGCCTGTGTAATAAGACAAAGATTGGGCTGGGTGAGGTAGATTATGAATTGTGTCAAAACAGATTTGGAAAGCATTCATCTGACAAGAACCTTAATTTGGGGACAGAGAAGAAAGATGTTAGTGCAGTGTGGGAAAAAAGGCATCTCTGGAGTCAAGGCCATTAGAAATAATTCTATTTAAAGAATAATTTAAAATTATTGGGTTGGGCAAGAGGAGGAGAGAGTGGCCAGGGTTGGAAGAGAATTAGGTTAAGTTGGAATAGGTACAAACAGGATGGTCCTTAATACCAAATTTTTAAATAATGAAATAAGAGCACTACTAATAATTTTAAATAGTATCTAATATTTTTTTAGTTTTACATGCCCTGCATACACATCACCTCGTTTGATTCTTACAACTATCCAGTAAGGTGTGGGCTATTTCCCCCATTTTACAGATGAGGATACTGAGGCTTAGAGAGACATCATAATTTCAAATAGCTGGTAATTGGTCGAGACAGGGTGTGATCTCAGGTCTGACTCCGAAGTCCATGCTCTTAGTTATTAAACTGTTGTCATTCGGGGTGCTGTTGAGTTGATACTGACTCACAGCGGCCCTGTCAGAGTAGAACTGCCCCATAGGGTTTCCCAGGCTGTAATTTTTTTTTTATTTTTATTGTACTTTAGATGAAGGTTTACAGAACTAACTAGCTTCTTATTAAACAATTAGTACACATACTGTTTTGTAACATTGGTTGTCAACCCCATGACATGTTAACACTCTCCGCTTCTCGACCTTGAGTTCCCTGTTACCCGCTTTCCTGTCTCCTCCTGCCTTCTAGTCCTTGCCCCTGGGCTACTGTGCCCATTTAGTCTCGTTTTGTTTTATGGGCCTGTCTAATCTTTGGCTGAAGGGTGAACCTCAGGAGTGACTTCATTACTGAGCTAAAAGGGTGTCCGGGAGCCATACTCTCGGGGTTTCTCCAGTCTCTGTCAGGCCGATAAGTCTGGCTTTTTTTTATGAGTCAGAATTTTGTTCTACGTTTTTCTCCAGCTCTGTTCAGGACCCTCTATTGTGCAGGCTGTAATCTTTATGGGAGCAGATCACCAGGTCTTTTCTCCTGTGGAGCAGCTGGTGGGTTCAAACTGCTGACCTTTCAGTTAGTAGCCAAGTGCTTAACCATTGGGCCACCAGGGCTCCTTAGAGTTGCTAAACTCTGCTCTGCTAAATGTGTCAGTTTTACATCCTTTGTCATAATTGTTCTAGCATGTAGAGTGATTTTTGCCACTTTCCTTTTGAGTTGGCTAATACAGTGGATTTTGCTGATCAGCTCACATTGCAAATCGTGGTGTTCAGCTGTCGGCTAGTGCTGTGTTTATGTTCAGCACTGGTTACCAGTGATGGGTACAATACACTGGTGTTGCAAATAAACGTTCTATTAGATTATTCATCAACAGGGCACTTAATAAACAAATAGTAATTCAACATCAGTAAGAAGAAATTTTATTTTAAACATTTTTTTAATATGAAGAACTAAACAAACACGGGAAACATATATTGCATGTTTAGGTTTCACATGGATTAACATTAAATTGAGGCATGAATACCTTCTAATTTATTATTCTTAATGGTTTCTAATTTGACTTAAAAAAAAAAGTCATTCCAAGGCATATTTCCATGGCTTACAGTTCCATAGAAAATATTTTCCCAATATTTTTCATTTCCTTGTTTTCCTCCACCTGACTTTTTCACCCTCATTTTATTCAATCCTCTCTTCCAGGTCCCAGCACAACTATTTAAGAATCACTCGTATTCTGAAGAGCCTTGGTGAGCTTGGATATGAAAGTTTTAAATCTCCTCTTGTGAAATTTATCCTTCATGAGGCTCTTGTGGAGAATACTATTCCCAATATTAAGCAGAGTGCTCTGGAGTATTTTGTTTATACAATTAGAGACAGAAGAGAAAGGAGAAAGCTCCTACGGTTTGCTCAGAAACATTACACGCCCTCAGAGAATTTTATCTGGGGGCCGCCTAGGAAAGAACAGTCGGAGGGAAGCAAAGCCCCCAAAATGCCCACCTCTCCCGTCTCTGGTCATAACAGTCAAACTTCTATGCACAAAAAATCCAAGGAGTCCAAAAATTCCTCCTCAGCTGTTCATTTAAATAGCAAAACAATGGAAGAAAAAAAAGTAGCACCTAATGAGCCTGGAGAAGAGACAGATAGGCCCAGAGCAGAGCCCAGTGATGGAGCTGCCAAGCCGAGAAACAGCGAGGACTGTGATGGTGAAAATTCCAATTCTCAACCAGATAAAACAATTAACAATCCCATAGAGAAAAAGGAGAGTGCATCCCCTTCTGACAAAGATGAAGAAGTTGAAAAGCCAAACAAAAACTCTGAAAATCCTGGAAATACAAGCTCCCATGATGATATACTATTACAATGAATTGTCAGAAAACCCACAAACCCATTTAGGTAAGGGGGAAAAAAACTACTGTAGAATTTTTCCTAAAAAACAAGAACAAGATCAAATTTCAAAGTTTAACCAGCTGTTTCAGATTTATGTTGTAAGAGTTTTTTTTCTTTTGTTTGTTTTTCATTTTGGATGAAAATAAAATTACTATTTGATAAGAAGTCTTAAGACAAGATCCGATAAATGAACGTGTTCTGTAATGCTTTTAGGATGTGAGTTTTCAAATTCTACACAGAATGATTACTTTTAAATTATTTTCAAGATATCTGAAAACAATCATTTAGTATGCTATATCAAGTAAATTCTTTTGAGAAGTTACATTCTACATGAGGAAAATCAAAGAATGATTTCATTGTGTTGACACAACCTTTACCTGATTTACGGATTTATATTTTTTAGCTGGAAAATTTAGAAGAGTTATTTGGATTCTTTTATTCCAACACCTCAACATTTTGTTTTTAAATTCTAATACAGTAAAATTGATGTTCTTGGGGAGCTATGACCTCTCCGGCCCATCTGTCAGCCCCACTGATTTTTTCTCTTTTCCTCTCTTTGCACTAACGCTTGTCCTGCCGTCTTTGTCAACTAGCATGTGCATTTCTAGTGTACATTATTCTAGTGTACATTAGGATGATCTATGTTGAAATTTAAATGGAACAGAGGTGTACTTTAAGTGTATGATTTCAAGAATTTGCTTTGTTTAAAATAATAAAAATGGTTTTCTGCATTAAGTGCTTAAAACAAACTTTGATGCAAAACTCCAAGAAAAGAATTATGCTTTCTATGGCTGTTCCATATACATTTGCTGCTTGACTCTGAATGCAAATGGCTATAGAATTAAAAAATAATAAAGGAATTATTCACTGTTTAAAAGCCATGCCTCTTGCATTGGCAATCAGGCAGTGGTCACTAAAACTATAAGTATTTCAGTGTTATTTGGTTAGGAGATGTTTAATGTGGGTTAGAACATGTTTAATACACGGTGTATCTTTTTTTTTTTTAAAAAAAACAACAACCTGATGCATCCCTAAATTGTCAGAGTTTAAAACTGAGAACAGATTTGAAATTCTGTATACTCAGTTTTAACAAGCACTTAATATATAATTTGACACTGTTTAAAAACTAATAATTTTGCTTCTTATACTATTATCACTAATATTACAAATCATAAAACAACCAGAAACACTTGGTGAGAATTTCAAAGCATACATGTAAATACCATTAAAACAATTAATAAATAAAATATTTTTACTTGTTTCATTTAGAAAGGAATTGGCTTTTGTGTCTCTCTTAGGCTTTTGAGAAAGTTATTTTCACTTTAACCCCTAAAAGAATTTTTAATATGTTCTATTCTGTATCACATCATGTCTTCTGTTTTCTCTTGATCCATTTTCAGCAGTGGACTTCTAGAAAATAAACCCACCAATAGTATGCCTTTAAAAATACGATTTTATTGCTTTGAAGTTAATGTGAAACATCACAGTTGCTTAACCCTTAATTTTTTATATGAATGTTAATAACAGTCATGTTGTAGATCATATTCCAATAAGTACAAGGTAGAACAATTTCTTATTTTTAGTTCCCATAATGTACCAATCTTTGCTTTCCACCATTTTGTGAAGTGAGTACTAGGACTGGTGAAACAATTCTGTGTTTGCATTTTATTTATTTATTTTTGCATGCAAGAAATACACGGACCTTTTCTGTGGTGTTTGTTGTAGTCTCTCACAGAGCTCAATAGAGAATTTAACAGAGTTTAGGGGATGGTAGTAGGTTGTTGCATTAGGCTGAATTGTAAGGATACAATTAATTTGATTCAATATATCTTACCAATTTTGCACACATGATAAAGTGTTCAACCCATTTTTAAATGCTTAATATTAATATGTGACCAGATACTAAAATACTAATAGTGTGACCAGATTCTAAAAGAAAGAAATATACTCTGACTTATTTAAATTGTAGCATATCAGGCCCTTGGAAGTTAAAAAAAAGTATTCAACAACTTAATGTTTAGGATATTATTCCCCAATGGAGGTTTGATTAGATTGTGCCATTTAGTTTGAGAATATTTAGTCTCAAGGGAAAAACTGCCTGGCTTCCATCTAAAATAGTGGTCTTTTTCCATCATGGTGTTTTTAAATGCATATTCATACATAACAGTATGTCTCCTACATTTAATTTGTAAATAACATGAGCGAATTATTCAGAGGAGAACAAGTAAAAGGATGTCATTCCTTTTGCAGATAAAAATTACGAGTGTCTAGAATTTTTTTTTCTATTAAGAATACTTTATACATTTAATGGTTTTTTAAATAAGATCTATGGATATGTATTTGTGTCTTAGATTAGAAACAGTCCCCTGGGTTTGACTCCAATATTTTGTGTTTTTAAAAACTACCATATGCTTGCAGAAATTTGCTGAGAAGCTGTTAAAAAATGCGGTGAAGCATGTTTAAATAGCTAGAAACATTGAATCTTTTGCAATATATAGCCTGTATTGTTGTACCATGGACTGCAAGGATACTAAATATTGGCTATTAATAAAATACTAACTTGCATTTCATGCAAGCTGTAATTTATTTGCAATAGATGTTACACTGCTTGATTAGTCTAGTACATTTCTAATATTTTGTGCTTTCATATCTCTAAGGAGATAATATATGTGAAAATATTTTTAAATACTGTAAAGTGATATATAATAAGATATATTTCTGTACAGTAAGGGAAAAGTTTATAACATTAAAAATATTGTACCATTATACATTTTTCATGCTCAATCTCATAAGGAAACTCAAAACTATTATAATCGAAGTGAAAATATGTCTGCTTTGTCTTAATCAAGTCTGGGTCTCAGTTCAAAAATTATTTTGCATAGTTGTATTTTGAATTTCTGTTTTGAGACTTATTTCAGCTTCAAGAAGAAAATAAAACCTACAACTCAGGAGCTACTAGAGGAGTGCTAAGATTTTTGCTAAGCATTAATAACAAACGTGTGAACGTGTCATGACACCTGTTAAGACATTGTTTCATATTTTGTCATATAAAATTATCTACTCTGCTTTTAGATTTTATACTTTAATCTGAGTAAAAGTATGATCTGGTGAAAAAAGGGAAAAACAGTATATTGTGTTACTTGTGTTACTCTTTAAATCAATTTAGTAAAAACTAAATTTCCATATTAAGTGGTCGAAGATTAACTGAACTGAGGAATAGAGAGTATTTGGTTAATTATTTTATAGTTAAAAATTTCAAGTTTATAGTAGAATCATAAGTGAGTTTATAATTCACTCGGTAACTAAATCAAGTTGGTTTATTACTATAATTGAGTCTCTTCTAAAAGCTTAATTTTCTAACCTTAGAAAAGAAGGACATTCTTGGTCTTGCTTGACTTAGTTACATCTGCGGGTCTTTCATGTCTATTTGGAGGGAGTGGGGATCCTTCATTATACGGATATATATGAAGATTTCTACTTTGTTTCCTGCTTAGAAAACTCCCTTTTCTCTTTTGGAGAGTGAGTGCAGCTAAATAGGCTGAGTTAGACCTGCTAAACTCCTTTTCAATTGTAGATGCAGTTGTGGAGAAAGATGGCTAGGGCCAGTGTAGGATCTAGAAAATAAGTGTGCATCTACTGAGTTCTTTAAACTGTGGAAGCTGTACTGTTCATTGCATGAACAGATTTGTGTGGGCAGTCTCTAGGGTGACAGTGAGTACTACCCTGCCTCCTGCCCATCTAGTTATTCAATTCACCCAGCAGATTGTGTTAGGGGACATATAGTGTTTTTAGAAATCCCTAATTACTGAAGTTAGTGTAATTAATGTAGTTATAAATATGAATGCTTGGAGGTGTCCAGATGTGCCTTAACTAACGTGATTTTCATTCAGAAGTTTAAATTTTTACTCCATTGTAAAATACTGTCCGAAGGAACTTTTCAAACCATGAATATCAGTTACTTTAATGAAGTTTACTTTGGTGCTTTCTTGTTTTGGAGAAATTTCTGTTTTAGACAAATGCATCAGTTCATAAAGAAGTGAACTCACCACAATATTCAACAATGTGTTATATGTGACGAAAGTGTTTAGAGAAAAATTAACTATGTGGTTGTTATATTTATACCTTTGCTTAATATTATACATGCTGTAATTTTTGTTTTAAACATACCTGTTACTGCAAGGAATAGTTTACCTGTGTTTTACTTCATGTTCTTAGACACAGATGGATGAAGAAAGTGGAATTCTATTAGAGAAATTATTTAAAAATTTAATTCCAGTAGATGGTTGGAGGAATCTGAAATTGATTTGAAAAACTATTATGCCATAGTTTATTACAAACATTAAAAAAAAAAAAAATAAAGCACTGTTCTTGCTTGCTTCCCACATTAGTGAGGGTGTTCTTTGTCATTTTTTTTCCCTTTCTCTTGAGAAGTCTATTATTTTAGTTATTTGTGGGAAATAACTTCTTAATATGTTTGTTTCCTTAAAGTTTTCATGTAGAGAATACAATGAAGTGCTTTGTTATATGGCCCAAACTCTGGCTAGAAGTAGAGTTCAGATAGGAAGAGGTGACTAAGAATCAGGGTGGGCACCTTGGTGAAGTGAAACCAACACTGGATCCGTCCTCTCTGGCATCATGGCGGGCCTCAGAGTCCCCCAGTGGAAAATGAGGATGTTGGGCTCCCATGATCTCTGACTTCTGGGGAAAGTTGACCATCTTGGACTCTATATAGTTTTAATGGGTATCAATTTTTGTAGAATACCTGCCGTAATTTATTCACGACTATTTTGTAGTTGTTTGGAAAATTGAGAGCAATTGGGCTTCTGCTATGTAAATTATAGCTGTATGTTTATAACTATCTTGGGAAACACTTTGAAATACCAGTTCCCCCCAAGCCGCTTCAATCACAATTCTTTTGGGTTTTTCTTCCATAGGTATATATAAATAAATACTTTTCATAAAATGCTTCAGCACACTTTAAAAATGAATGAAAGGAAGAAGGCATCAGTGCTCTCTCTTTAATCAGAGCACCTTATGGAAATGTACTTAAGCTATGAGGTTTATCAAATTTTTATTTTTTAAATTTTAAATGCATATGTGGAACAGTTTACATTAACTAGAAAGATTACTTATATAATAAGCTCTGGTTCAAAGCAGTGTTCCAGTTCTGTACTCGTTGGTCAAATGAGCATTTTTTTTCAGTGCTAATGGATTTACTTTCACTGAAGAAAAGGAAAACACAAAACAAGATTACTAACAAGAAACCCACTATAGAAATAAAGATACAGCCAATTATAGGTTTGTGCAAGTGCCAGAATTACTGGAAGCAGGTAAGGAAGGATTTAGAAAAGCTTTATGGTGGGGACATGTTTTAAGAATCAGTTCTATATTACCTGTGCCAAGGAGAGCAGTAACTGGTGTGGGAAGAGAATCCCATTAATACTCTCATTTGAAACTTTAATTCTCCCTACTCCACAGTGAAACCTTTCATTAGACTAGTAGAAGTAATGAATGATCAGATACCAAGTTTCATTCATTTGCTGGTGTGTGCCAACAGGTTGGTGGTTTTACCAACAAGAAGCTAAACTGAGGGACGCTGCAGATAAGAGAAGACTCAGCAATAGGTGGTTTATAAATGAAGTCACTATCTCCCATACCATCAAGAGTTGATAGCATATTAACTGTGTGACATTATAATTAATAGAAACAAATGAGAGCAAAGTGTTAGGTCATATGACAAGCATCCCCCTCCTTTTTTACTCCCCCGCAAAAGAGCTTTTACTTGTTTCCTAGGTAAGATATTGACTCTCCTGTTACCTAAGAAGATAGATGGCAGACTGGGTCAAGACAGTGTTTCAATTTGGAGACAACTGTGGTCTTTGTATTTCGAGTATTTCAGGAAAGGCTGCGATTCTTACAAAGATGTGTGTTTTACCACATGAGCTCTGAGTGTCCAGTGGCCACTGGGTCTTCTCTGTGCTCTGTATTCTACTGCAGTATGAATTACAGAATGTTGTGCGTGTTTGTTAGTACCAATACCATGTGTATGTGGTAGAAGTTGTAACCAGTTTCTGGATCTGTATGGTACTATAAAATACTTATTTTATATTTCTGTAACTGTATGGCAGTGTTACGCCAAAAATGTATAAAGAGCAATAGTTTCTGTTGCTTACTGCTGTATTTTAAAATATTGTTTCTAAAATAATATATTTAGAGTTCCTTTCAAGTAATTATTTTTAATAACTATTGCCAGTATACATCATGTAAAACTAATAAAAGTCACCTCATCTTATTTAACATTTTAGCATTGTGTTAGAGTACATGATGTTGATTTTGCATGATTAAAATATTTTTAAGGAGCTGGAACAAATGACTTGCTGTTTTCCTGTGATTAAGCATATATTTTATACGATTATTATATAAATGATCATTAGTTCCCTTTTTCCTTTAAAATAAACATTTGAAGGATGAAATCTTTACATACTAAGTTATTTTTTTGTGAGATTTTCGAAAGTAGATCACGTGTAAATATTTGGATTTTACTGTTCTTCCTCTTTTTTACTTTAATGCAGAGTTTTAAAAGTATATTTCATATAGATGAATAAAAATGAGTAGCTAATGGAGATGATACCTTTTTCAATTAATAGGGCTAGTCTTCTTAAGAAGTCAATTTTTTTTTAATTAAGAAAAATGAAATTGTGAGATGAAAGTAAGGAAGTTGCTCTAGGTACCACTGACAATGTGGAAGAAGATGAGGAAAAGCATAAAATTTTGGTTGGCCGCATTGATCTATATAGGCAGGAAGGAGGAGGATGAAAGAACTAAGAGTAAATTGTCTTGAGAGTCAGAATGAAGTCACACTGTGCACAACTGAGGAACCGGTAAAAAGAGACAAATGCAAAAACCAGCCAACCTGGTGAGTGAGCATCATTTTAACTATAGCCTTTTGGATGAATTGTTTAGAGGAAAGAGGAATTTGCACAAGCAATTTTTGTCATAAGGGAAGAATGGACAAATTCTGGTAATAAAAAATAGAGGAGTGTTCTTTTCCCCAGAGGTTCAATGTCTTAAGGAAACATAAAATCTAACAAAATGGATATTCTTAGGATAGTGAGAAATGCAAAAGTGACTATACTTCTGCATAAATAGAAAATTTAATAAGAGAGAGTTTGGAGAAAAGAGTTATAACATTTATTTTAAGCCTCAAGTGGATGCAAAGCAGACAAGTTGATGTTTCAGAGATGGTAGGAAATTCCTTCCTAGATAAAACTGTTGACAGGCCATTTGAATTCTTGTGGGTGATTTTAGGATTTGGCAATCACGGCTGACGAAGCAGTCAGACTAATACACGAGACATGTAAGGATTATCCTGTCCTTGGGATTATCCCCATGAATACATAGGATTAATTGGAAGAGCATTTTAAAATAGGATATTAAAGAGAGATTAGAGAGCCAGCATGGATTTGCCTTAACTACTCAGGAAGATGGGTTTATTACTCTTGCTGTAATAGTGTTCTAGTATTTTTATAGCCTTTTATAGTGCATATTCATCACTACCAAGGAATATATAAATATTTTCCTTCCAAATGGTGTATAACATGGTTTTGTTATGATTGAAGTAGCTGATTTTATCTACTCTCAGCTTTGAAAAGGGAAGAGATTAGAGGAAGAAGGAATAAACAAGCAAAGACGTGGTAGACGAGGTGAACTTAATGAGATCTGACAGCTCACCTTTGGATGCTGAAGTTGTCTGAGATCTTTAAATGGATGATTTCACTGTTCTGAGCAAGAAAAGTTCAAGAAAAAAATGCTAAAGGGGTAAAAAGTAAGGGAAAGGAGGCATTTTGTTTAATGGCAAGAGAGCAGCCTCTGGAGCCAGACAGACTTGGTCCAGATGGCAACATTAGTTATAATTGACTGTATGGCCTTGGGCAAGTCATGTAAATTCTCAGGGTCTGTGGTTTCTCATTGGTAATAACATCCACCTGTAAGATTCCTGGAAGTATTAGAGAGAATGTAGGTGAAACTCCCAGGACAAATTCCAGGCACTTCCTGATAGTAGTTGCTGATGTTCTAGAAATAAATAAGAAGATGCTTAGTTACCACAGGTATGTTGTAGCGTTTATCTCAACGGAAATAGAATGATGTTAGCCAAGTTTATAGATCCAAATAAACATCTTAAACTTACAATTTTAATGTAGTTTTTACTAAAAATGCTACCAGATATAGTACTGATAATTTTATATTAGCCATACTGATACTGACAGAATAGAAAATTTCCCTCACTGTGAAGGTAATGAATGTATAAAACAGCCCTTTATTACTGAATAATCTTTTGAACTGGTTCCTTTATATGCTAAGAAAAGAGCTGGCATATAAAGCAGAGCTGAAGCCTTTCAGTCAGAATCAGGAGATAATCTTACTTTATTTTAGGACCTTATTGGCCTTGATTCTTATTAAAAGTAGGAAAATTCAATGTAAAACCCTCCCAAAAAGTATTTACTTCATATCTTAGTGGGAGGCCACTTAAAAGTTAACACCATTTAAAAATGCGTATGTAATAAAAATCTGAGCATTATGGCCTACTTGTTGTTTTGTTTGCTTACAATCAGAACTAAGAGGATGAATAATCTTGTGCCAAATATTCTCTGTCAAAATTCTAACCTGAGGTATCTTCATACTGTAAAATTAAAATGAGGTCACTGGAGGGCTTGAGCCATTGTCTTGTTTAGCCTCTTCTCCCCTCAGAATGCACAAATGTACTGCAATTAAGATATGAAATAAATTCTTGTTGACTTGAATAGAAATTGAACATTTTTACTTTCTTTGAAAACCAAAAATCTATCATTAATTCCAACCAGTTCCCTCTCATTTTATCTATTTCAGAGTCCAGAGATGGGCAGGGAAATTATAGACTCATAGAGCTGGCAGTGAGTGTGGATCCTAATTTTACAAATGATGAAGCTGAGATGTGGAGAGGTGGCACTTTTCTACCACAAATTCTGCAGAAGTTAAGGACTTGAGGTAGGGGACCTAAGCCTCCTGGCTCTCTGTCTAGTGGGTTTATGAAGTGTGGCTTCTTTAAACTCAGTGAATACCCTTTAGTAATTAGAACTGATCCAAGCACATTAGCCCAGAGTGGGCTGACCCATGCTGCAATATTAATAAAAGACCACAGTCCTCTCCATAAAAGAGGCTTTCTCACCATTTAGTGCATTCACCATTGACCAGTGTTCATGTTAGAAGATGTCTGAAGCAGGTTCAAACATTTTAATTTGGAAAAACCCACTGGGGCTCTCAAATTGGTCTTTGAATATAGCCATCGCTGATGGCATGCATTACTGTACACAGGAGCTCTTTCAGATGTCTTCTCTGGGGTAAAGTGGAGCATGCTGTGCTGCTCTAACCCTGGCATTTCTAATCTCATTAGATGACATCGCTTGATCCCCAGACTAGAAACTTGGGGGCATTCCTCACTTTATTCATCATCACATCAAATCTAATCACAAATTCTGTTGATCCTACTCCTGAATCTTATCTCCAATCTACCCCCTCATTTCAATCCCCACTGCCTCCATAGTATTTCAGGCTTTTATCTGTTGCAGACTAACACTAAAACCAAACCAGCTGCTATCTAGCTGGCTCTGAGTCCTGGCAACTTCATGTGTGTCAGAGTAGAACTATGCTCCATAACGTTCTCAATGGCTGATTTTTTTCAGAAGTAGATCACTAGGCCTTTCTTCCGAGGTACATGCCTCTGGGTGGACTAGAACCTCCAACTTTTGGTTAGCAGCTGAGTGCGTTAACCATTTGCACCACCCAGGAATTCCAGGATGCCATAATGTTGCTCAAAAATACAAATCTAGCCATTTATGTAAACCTTCAATAGTTCCCATTGCCCATAGGCTACTTTGCATATATTTTCAGGCCTTCATCTTCATTATCAACTGGCCCATGGCTACTTTTCCAGCTTTCTTTCTCACCATTTCCTTAGAGCAACTATGCTCCAGTCTCATTCATTTGTTTATTCAATCATTCAGCAGTTAATGAACATACCCTAAAGGATACTGTGGGCAAAGATATATAGAAGTAATCCCTAAGCTATAATAATAAATGGGAACATGAAGTATAATCAGAATTTAAGGAATAGAACTATTTGTGGTTCCTCTCACAAGATACTCTGTTGCTCTGTCCCTCCCTGCCTCTCACTTCCTGCCTTTTCACAGGTAGCTTCCTCCACTGTAGACATCCCTGCCTCCTCCACCCTACTGCAGTCCTCCCTAGACATCTCTAGTTCCACCTGAGGAACTTCTGAGTCTCAGTTCAAACATCAACAAAAAACAAAACCCATTGCTGTCCAGTTGATTCCAACTCATATCGACCATATAGGACAGAGTAGAACTGCCCCATAGGGTTTCCAAGGAGCAGCTGACCTTTTGGTTAGCAGCCGAATGCTTAACCACTGAACTACCAGGCCACTAGCCTTTGCAAAACCTGTGGAAACCCCTTTATGTATCATGGAGCTGCTCCTCTGGGATTTCACAGCCCCATTACATTCCTGTTTGATAGCAATAGTGATTGCCTCCTGAGGACAGGAAACATGGCTCCTTCATCTTTGAATCTTAGAGGCTTAGCATATGGTCAAGCACTGAGTAGC